CCGGCCGCCACCCTACCCAAAAAGAAGCATTAGGGCATGACTTCTCAGCTTTTATTTACACAAAAAAAGTACTAATCTGTGACAAGCGAAAAAGTGGGCCATGGAATTCGGGGTGCCTTTGTTAGTCTAAATTAGCCACAGGGGAGTACAATATAATAGGCGGCTGGCCTACGTCGAACGCCACGGTGATGTGCCTTTTTAAAATATTTCTTTTACAGAAGTTGCTGAAAATTACACGAGGAATATATGACCGAGCTCAAAGACCAGACTATATACAGCAAGAACTTAAAAAGAGTGCGCATCATCGGGACAAAGAGCAACAGAATGGTAATTCTGCTTCTGGTCTATACAGGCGGGATCTGAAACCACGAAACCACGAAATCACAATTGAATGAAAGATTTCCTTTAAATTCAATTCAAATCAGTTTCAGCTATTCCTTTCCCACGGTGCAACTATCCAGCTTTAGAGAAACACGTGCCATACGACCGTATGCATTCATATTTAGCAGACGGCTCTTTCGTGTTCTGCTTTTTAATCAGAGTAGACCACTGCCTGATCATTTTACTTTGCCTTTGAGTGCGTGACCTAACCGAAAATCCAACTTGTAAAAGAAAATATTCTAAACGTTCAGAAAATATTGACATTTTTGATGTCATCGAAAGACGATTAGACAATTAATAAGTACTGATTGCTGAAGACTCATAAAACAGTCATTTGGAGTGATATGCATTATGGTTATTCATTTGTGTTTGTTAATGCTCAGTGTAAATGCACTGCAAGTCAAATCTCATACTAGTTTCACTTTTCGTCATAATTGTGATACTACCTTCAAGAGTGCCTGTTGAATAGCAATAATATCCAGATGAGGAAGAGTAAAGCTTTACGAATACAGTATGATATCTTTTGTATAAGGAATAAGATTTGTTAAAGTTTAATGATAATATTCTAATTTTTCCGACTTTGTGTTTCATGTATAGTTTAAAGCAACGATGTTTGTCTATCCTCCTCGATTTAAGTAGCCCGAGCTGAAATAAGCAAGCAATTTATTATCCTCTCCTTAACAACAAGGGGGCTTATCTTCAAGAACTAGCCTTTAAACAAGGCCACATGCCTGATAGACGCCGAGCGACTAAAAAGAGACTAATCGCGAAAACCTGAATGAACGCCTCGTTGACTCTGGCTAAGCGGCTGAGATGAGTCTAGATACCCGGAGTGAACGCGCGACCGAATGACGAATGTCCAATTCGCACTGGCGTTCATTCAGGTTTTCGCGATTAGTCTCTTTTTAGTCGCTCGGCGTCTATCAGGCATGTGGCCTTGTTTAAAGGCTACAAGACCACTAAATGTGACCCTCAGTTAACCCCTGTTCCTTTGAGAAATAAATTATAGATACTGCAGGGGTTCCTGTACCATCGTGCATACTGGCATTGAATCCCAATCTGTCATTCTTTAATACTGCCCCTGTTGCACTTCATTCATACGAAATACGGTTATAGAAATAATGTATTAATGAATTATGTATAAAATCCTTCCATCTTATAAACGAACACATATATTTCGATGAATATCCACATGGTTTCAGCGCTTAAAGAGAAGGTTAAGTTCTGAGAAGAGGTGAAAAATAATTTGTGAGCGTTATCATTGTTATTGCAAGTGTGGAAGAACATCAGATAAAAAATGTTCCCTGAAAAGCATGGCTCTTCAATTGCCTTAACATTCTGAATATGGCATCTAAAAGCGTAAAACAGCATTCAAATCGGGACGGATTTGTATGCCACTGTTGCCACATGTTTGTGTAGTCCCATATATATATATTTCTGTGTGCAGTGCTGGTAACTTTACCAATACTTGGCTACATTTCTTATCATTTTGGTGATCCAAGAACCTTGCAGTACACACCAATACTTATATGCTAGATGATCAACCTTTTCTGATCGATTTCAGACCGTTTCTTTCACAATGCAATCGCATGACCAGAACTCAACCTTATCTTTAATATATATTGTTTGTTTCATGCATCGATAATAATGGCCCACAGTGAGGCTATATTAGTTTGAAATCTCATGATACATGTGTATCTACAGATGACATGACATTGAACATGTTAATGCAATTCCTAACCAATGTATGTGAATAGCTTCATAAATGAAGGAATTAGGAACTAGTACATTAAGCCTGAGTTCAGAAGCCAATCCATTTAGTATACATAAGTGATAATATAGTTTTAGTTTTAGCGCTGAATATTGTTTGTTTCATACATCTATTTTTCGTTTAATAACCACTAAAATATGGGCCGTCGTCTTTGAATTTACATGTTACGTATCTTAAATATTAATTCAAACGAATGGATAAAAGTCACATGCTCAAGAACTGCTGGAACACAGCCAGACAGTGATTGACATTTAATCTGTCGGGTTCATGCATACTAAATTTCAAATGGCGGACCGGATGCGCATATTTTTTTTACACAACTGTTTAGCCACTTCAGTCAAGTATACTGTGAAAACGACTAGAGACAGAGTCTAGCATTACCCTTCGCAATTTTGTTGGATATTGTTGGAGCTGTGCATGTGTAGGGTCTACAAATTTTTACTCGTTATTTGTTTCGGGTTAAATCTATCCTCTCTTCTCTTTCATTATGTATTTCTGTGTTCTCCTTCAATCTATCCTCTTCTCTTTTGTCATGTATTTCTTTCTTTTTCTTCAATCTATCCTTTTTCTCCTTCGTTATATATTTCTTTGTTTTTCCTTCAATCTATCCCCCAGTTCTCCTTCGTTATGTATTTCTTTTGTTAGCCTTCATTCTAACCTCTTCTCTTTTGTTTTATGTATTTCTTTGTTTCTCCTTCAATCTATCCTCTTCTCCTTCGTCATCTATTTCTTTGTTTTAATCTGATAGATTAAGTTTCTCCTTCTTTATGTATTTCCCTGTTTTTCCATAGTCTAGATCTATGATCCTCTTAGCTCTTCAATTATGTATTTCTATGTTCTTCCTTTGACTTATCCTCTTCTCTTTCCTTATGTATTTCCTTTTTCCCCTTCTCCATATCCTCTCCACTATCCTTGTTTTCCCCTTTCTATCATCTTCCCTTCCCTGGGTGTACGTGCTCGCACAGTGTAAGTGCGCTGACGACTTAGACTCTTTCACCAGAGCACTTCTTGGAATTTTTTCGCGAAAATGGCTAAACAGTTGTGTAAAAAAAAAAATAAGCGCGGAGCGGATGGGCGGATGATTATATTTCCGTTGATATGCAGGCATTCCAACAGAAGTAGAATCTTATTCCAAACAAAAGGTATGTAGTCGCACTTCAAAATCTTGTCTCATGTCATCTAGTTATAGCTAACTTACAAACCAAATTAAACTGCATGTGCTGAAAACATACAATGTTGTTTGTAAACCTGACGCACATGCACGCAATTTGCTCGTTTATGAAATTCTTCTCTGCGTCATGAAAGAACCATTTAGTGGACTATGCACTATAGACGATTTTATTATGGTTCGCGTTAATAGAAATGACTTATTAGAACTATGGCAAAAGCACCATAGCCTAAAATCTCTCTTCAGAAATGGCGTTGAATCCTCTAAAATGTTTTGCCAGTTTGTTTTACCAGATATATTTTTGATAGTCAAATGAAGAGTTCTACATCACACCACGACTGAGTGAGGCAAGCTTGATGCATAATGTCTATACATCATATCCTCTCATATCTTTCTCCTGTAAAATATTCTTGCTTGCAGCATTCTCGGTACCACCAATATCACTGCGCATAAACATATACAGAGACATATTTTTAATAAAGTTTGTTTCTCCTTTTATAATTGAAATAAAAGTCTTATATTTCATAGTCACGTTTGCTGATATTGTCATGTGTATCTACAGATGACATGACATTGAACATGTTAATGCAATTCCTAACCAATGTATGTGAATAGCTTCATAAATGAAGGAATTAGGAACTAGTACATTAAGCCTGAGTTCAGAAGCCAATCCATTTAGTATACATAAGTGATAATATAGTTTTAGTTTTAGCGCTGAATATTGTTTGTTTCATACATCTATTTTTCGTTTAATAACCACTAAAATATGGGCCGTCGTCTTTGAATTTACATGTTACGTATCTTAAATATTAATTCAAACGAATGGATAAAAGTCACATGCTCAAGAACTGCTGGAACACAGCCAGACAGTGATTGACATTTAATCTGTCGGGTTCATGCATACTAAATTTCAAATGGCGGACCGGATGCGCATATTTTTTTTTACACAACTGTTTAGCCACTTCAGTCAAGTATACTGTGAAAACGACTAGAGACAGAGTCTAGCATTACCCTTCGCAATTTTGTTGGATATTGTTGGAGCTGTGCATGTGTAGGGTCTACAAATTTTTACTCGTTATTTGTTTCGGGTTAAATCTATCCTCTCTTCTCTTTCATTATGTATTTCTGTGTTCTCCTTCAATCTATCCTCTTCTCTTTTGTCATGTATTTCTTTCTTTTTCTTCAATCTATCCTTTTTCTCCTTCGTTATATATTTCTTTGTTTTTCCTTCAATCTATCCCCCAGTTCTCCTTCGTTATGTATTTCTTTTGTTAGCCTTCATTCTAACCTCTTCTCTTTTGTTTTATGTATTTCTTTGTTTCTCCTTCAATCTATCCTCTTCTCCTTCGTCATCTATTTCTTTGTTTTAATCTGATAGATTAAGTTTCTCCTTCTTTATGTATTTCCCTGTTTTTCCATAGTCTAGATCTATGATCCTCTTAGCTCTTCAATTATGTATTTCTATGTTCTTCCTTTGACTTATCCTCTTCTCTTTCCTTATGTATTTCCTTTTTCCCCTTCTCCATATCCTCTCCACTATCCTTGTTTTCCCCTTTCTATCATCTTCCCTTCCCTGGGTGTACGTGCTCGCACAGTGTAAGTGCGCTGACGACTTAGACTCTTTCACCAGAGCACTTCTTGGAATTTTTTCGCGAAAATGGCTAAACAGTTGTGTAAAAAAAAAAATAAGCGCGGAGCGGATGGGCGGATGATTATATTTCCGTTGATATGCAGGCATTCCAACAGAAGTAGAATCTTATTCCAAACAAAAGGTATGTAGTCGCACTTCAAAATCTTGTCTCATGTCATCTAGTTATAGCTAACTTACAAACCAAATTAAACTGCATGTGCTGAAAACATACAATGTTGTTTGTAAACCTGACGCACATGCACGCAATTTGCTCGTTTATGAAATTCTTCTCTGCGTCATGAAAGAACCATTTAGTGGACTATGCACTATAGACGATTTTATTATGGTTCGCGTTAATAGAAATGACTTATTAGAACTATGGCAAAAGCACCATAGCCTAAAATCTCTCTTCAGAAATGGCGTTGAATCCTCTAAAATGTTTTGCCAGTTTGTTTTACCAGATATATTTTTGATAGTCAAATGAAGAGTTCTACATCACACCACGACTGAGTGAGGCAAGCTTGATGCATAATGTCTATACATCATATCCTCTCATATCTTTCTCCTGTAAAATATTCTTGCTTGCAGCATTCTCGGTACCACCAATATCACTGCGCATAAACATATACAGAGACATATTTTTAATAAAGTTTGTTTCTCCTTTTATAATTGAAATAAAAGTCTTATATTTCATAGTCACGTTTGCTGATATTGTCATGTGTATCTACAGATGACATGACATTGAACATGTTAATGCAATTCCTAACCAATGTATGTGAATAGCTTCATAAATGAAGGAATTAGGAACTAGTACATTAAGCCTGAGTTCAGAAGCCAATCCATTTAGTATACATAAGTGATAATATAGTTTTAGTTTTAGCGCTGAATATTGTTTGTTTCATACATCTATTTTTCGTTTAATAACCACTAAAATATGGGCCGTCGTCTTTGAATTTACATGTTACGTATCTTAAATATTAATTCAAACGAATGGATAAAAGTCACATGCTCAAGAACTGCTGGAACACAGCCAGACAGTGATTGACATTTAATCTGTCGGGTTCATGCATACTAAATTTCAAATGGCGGACCGGATGCGCATATTTTTTTTTACACAACTGTTTAGCCACTTCAGTCAAGTATACTGTGAAAACGACTAGAGACAGAGTCTAGCATTACCCTTCGCAATTTTGTTGGATATTGTTGGAGCTGTGCATGTGTAGGGTCTACAAATTTTTACTCGTTATTTGTTTCGGGTTAAATCTATCCTCTCTTCTCTTTCATTATGTATTTCTGTGTTCTCCTTCAATCTATCCTCTTCTCTTTTGTCATGTATTTCTTTCTTTTTCTTCAATCTATCCTTTTTCTCCTTCGTTATATATTTCTTTGTTTTTCCTTCAATCTATCCCCCAGTTCTCCTTCGTTATGTATTTCTTTTGTTAGCCTTCATTCTAACCTCTTCTCTTTTGTTTTATGTATTTCTTTGTTTCTCCTTCAATCTATCCTCTTCTCCTTCGTCACGTAGGTCAAAGGTCACAGGTCACAGAGGTCAACTTATGAAATTCCATACATTGAGATCGTTATCGCGATATCTCAAGAACCACTGGAGAATTTCACTTCAAACTTAATGATAGTGTGTATCACCATAGGAAGACAATCTGATTAGATTTTGGAGCACGTAGGTCAAAGGTCAAGGGTCACAGAGGTCAACTTATGAAATTCCATACATTGAGATCGTTATCGCGATATCTCAAGAACCACTGGAGAATTTCACTTCAAACTTAATGATAGTATGTATCACCATATCATAATATCTCAAGAACCACTGGAGATTTAAACTTCAAACTTAATGATAGTGTGTATCACCATAGGAAGACAATCTGATTAGATTTTGGAGCACGTAGGTCAAAGGTCAAGGGTCACAGAGGTCAACTTATGAAATTCCATACATTGAGATTGTTATCATGATATCTCAAGAACCACTGGAGATTTAAACTTTAAACTTGTTTAAATTGCTCTATGGCGGAGGCATCATTTTCGACTGCGCGCAGTCAAAATTCCATCTAGTTCTGTATTGTGTTGTAAATATGTTGCACTCTCATACCCCTAAAAGGGGTCGATAGAGTCAAATCTTATCTTATCTTATCTTATCTTATCTGACTTAAATTGTCCCGAAATCGAGTGAGAAGAGAATGGAGAAGAAAATAAACAAAAGAGAATACAAATGAAAAGGAGGGATACCAAAAAAAAAAAAAGAAGAACAAATTAAAATAAGACAGAAATTAGGGTTGAGAATTTATTGACTTCTGTCAAAAATATTCAAAATTGAGGTGTATATAGTTAAGAGTGAGAAGAGAATAGAATGGAGAAGAAAATAAACAAAAGAGAATATAAATGAAATGGAGGGATACCAAAAAAAAAAAGAAGAACAACTTAAAATAAGACAGAAATTAGGGTTGAGAATTTATTGACTTCTGTCAAAAATACTCAAAATTGAGGTGTATATAGTTAAGAGTTATGGTCTTCAGTATATATTCCCCAGTGTAATTAACTATATAATGTGATAAATAAAACGAGTCCTCAATTCCCACCGTAAACGTGTATTCGTTCGGACTACTGTATACCAAAAAAAAAAAACACTCTATAGATTCTAACTGGATACCTTGTAAAACAGTTCTAATTCAAAATCATCGTGCAAGAAAAGAGGTCCAAGATTATTAGCATTATCGTGGTCACACAGATAACGAAAGCAAAAGGTTGGAGTGAAATGGATATTTCACCTGGCTCTAACGTTTCAAGTGATTTTCACTCATCGACAGTGTCACAAAAACTAAGTTTCAAAGCTTAAAGGTGAGACCAGTTTTGGAAACGCCCCCCCCTCTCAAAACATGAAAAGGAAGCTCTTATTACCAATCATGTGAAAGAATATGTTTTGGCTAATACGTGACGATACAAATTTTGCCGGGAAACCGCCTACTAATTGATATATTCGGTAAATTATTATATTTTTTTTGACCGGATAGATCGCGTAGACCCATTTACATCTTTATGTGTACAGTGCTTGTAACTTTACCAAGACTGGGCCAAATTTCTTATCATTTTGATGATTCCAGAACCTTGCAGTACACACCAATACTTATATGCCAGATGATCAACCTTTTCTGATCGATTCCACAACGTTTCTTTCACAATGCAATCGCATGAACATAACTGATCTTTACAGTTAAAGAAAAATATGTTGTTTTTTACAGTTTAAAGTGTGACGAGTGCAGGATACGGTTAATTTCGGAGTGTATTAAACATTTAGAAACTTCAGGCCAATGATACCGAAAGTCCCACAGGCCCTCGCCGCTGACAATGCAAACAAGTACTGTAGATATGAGTTTTAATAGGAATATGAAAGAAAAATAGAATGAAGGAAATATTGAGAGAGAGAGAGAGAAACAAGGCTGAACCTGGTATAGATATAGAAAGAGTATCGGTAAAAAGCATGAGCACAAATTTGTAAAGGAAGTAAAAGAATCCGCTAAAAATGACACACCCATGTTTGTTTTCCCTTTTGGTTCTCTTTAGAAATGAACGCATTCCTTAATTGATTAGAAAGTAAAATTCAAGCAAGAATTCATAACTAAGTCGTCATCCATTAATATGAATGAAGCTCATTTAGCCCCTTCTTCAAAGTGACCGACGATGAATTACTTTTAGGTGTAAACAAAAATTGAACCCTGTAAAATGCATGTTTATGACTTAAAGCTAAGTGAACAGTAGGATAACCAAATCGCTTGAATAAAAGAGCGAGAAAGAGACAGGGAATGAGAGAAAAGGGATTAGTTTTTAAAGCTAAATTTTAAAGATTCACCCGGATGATATATTGAAGGAAATTCTGTTTGTCACGACAGTATAAAAGCAAGAATAATTAAATGAACGGAGGGAAGGACTTAGTGTATTGCAGTAGGGGCGTTCAATGAGTAGATGGGGTACCTTTGCACACGAGGAATTTGTATCTTGATGTCGGAAAATGAAGGAGGAAGGGTAGGGCATCAGCCTGCATTGACCCCTGGTTCCGCCCCCTGTTTAATGCTCTTTAATATATACAAACCTAGTTTATGCTTTAACTATCAAGCCCCAGTATAGCGAAACTGAATCCCACTACTAAATACTTACATGTCTAACCTTTCTTCATAATATCTTTTTATTTTCTTTACTTCACTTAGAAACTTGAAGAGATCTCTACGAACTGCGAAGCTCTGCAGACATAATCCAACCACTATGATTATAAACACTCAGATTGCAGAATTCTACCGACGAACCTTTGACAATGTGCTTTCGAGTGAAGATGTTCAGGTAAAATAGAACGTATACTAACCAGACACGTAGCCACGGGGGGGGGGGGGGGGCACAAATGTCCAAGATCGGTTGACTTTTTTTGACCCCCTTTTTTTTTTACCTCGATCGATTACATGTACGTGCCCCCCCCCCCCCAACATCAAACTCTGGCTACGTGCCTGATACTAACATGTATCAATATTTCATTAATTTAGTGTATAAACTTAGTAATATTAATAATAAACATGGATGCAACAAGTTTCCTCTCGAGGCAGTAATATTTGATACGGTAAGGCTTTCTGACATTTCCTAGAAACCCAGACTACGTTAAATTATTGAACATTTCTTTTCATAAAATAAGTAGGTAAACGAAGTATCCAACAACTAGACATAAATCAACATATAATTCGCTATCAACACTATTTTATGTATAGCAAGTGACTGCATGGATTTGCTTAAATTATACATGCACTTTGACCTGAAGCTAACCTACATAGTACGACCCTGTCAATGGACAAAACCTGAATCCTCTGTATTAATTTAAATCTTGATTTCCAACCAACTATTATAAATCTACCTCTTAAACATGACAATTTTATATCTTTTTTTTTTCAAATGTTTTAGCATACAAAACAGGTTATCTTTTAACTTGACCTGTCAATTCATTTCTTCATACCTTTAATCCATTGAATGTTGTATAAAGCGTTTTAGGGTGGATTCACTGGATTGTATACCTTCTGGCTGTTCATATTGTTTGTTTTCCTTATAGACGAATGGTTCCCTTTAATTCCTTTACTAGGCGATCAATATTCCACTTTCAACTCTTCTTAAAATACCATTGTAGATTATAATAATACAAAAATCGTTTACCTATAACAAAGTTTTATATATGCCTTATTTTTCAACAGAGTGGAATCATATTTGCTTTATATATTTTACACCTGGAGTATTTGGACACTGACTTCGACATCTGCAAAATGCACCAGTAAGATTTTTGTATTTTTAAAGATGTTAAAGGTACTATGTCCCTTTTGCAGCCAACCTCAAATTCTGTAGAACTCTGCAGGAATTATGAATATGTCACGTATATCCTATCTGTGAAATTTAAACGTTAGCAGTGTCCTTATATTCAAATTATGCAAGTAAACTTGTTTACTTGCTAGACTTCACTGTCAGACACTATTGAGTGACTGACTGGCTTTTTTTCTTCTTTGGTAATAACATACATGAAAAGAGTTGTAAAAGGTACATGAGCATTTGTCTACATCAATAACCCACTTCTTGTGATTGCCAAGATTAAACTGATTGAATCTTTGCGCAGCATAAAACGTATGACCATTCGGTACAATTGTCTGAAAATCAAGACTATTACTTTTGGGCTGTATAGCCCTAAAGTCGATTCGACAACTAATAGTCGTTATTTTCCCACTTGAAAACATTTTCAAGCCCTACTTTGTTTAGGGAAGTTCTAAATAAGTATTATCTTTCAAATGCAGTTGGAATTTAACTTTTTCATTTTTGGGCCTGCAAATGGGACATAGTACCTTTAATATGAAAATGTATGCAATGTACAATGAATAATATGAATAGATTTCTCAAGAGTTTCTTTAAATTACATGAAGAATAATTTATTGCCTTATGATTATACCGTCCACCTGAACTAGTAATATGTTTGACTTACAAGTGGTTAAAGCTATTGCCAATAGTTTCGTTTTTATTAGTGTAGGTTTGCGGGAGTGCCAGGGAGAGAACCAATGCCCTATCAATCCATTCATTCCTGTCATGCCCCCTCCCTATCCTATATCAACGTTGTTTTGAAGTAATTTCTGATATGAAGCACCCGTCACATCCACTATTTTCTTGTTTCACATTTAACCGCTCATGAATCATGTTTGTGTGTACCAAGAACGCAAAGAATCAGGTTCATTCCTTGGTCAAGTAGACATGTACATGTCTTTGCAGCTCCTGATTCGTTTCTATCTTCCCGTCTGGTCTCTCTCCCTTTCTTTCTGGCGTTAATCCCTTGTCTTGTCTTTCTTTCTCTCACTCTCTCTCTCTCTCTCTCTTTCTCCTTTCCCCTCTCTCTACTTCTATTTGCTCAAAGTAAATTACGGTATTAATGCATGAATTCATGAATTTGACTCAGAATAGTGTTTTTGTTATATACGGTATGCTCAGACAGGCGCGCCGGAAGCAGTTTGGGATTGGGGGAGGGGGGGGGGGGGCAAACATTCCATGGGGCTCACCTTCCAGGGGGCAGTGACGTAATGAGAAGAAAAAAAAAACGCTCGGAAGGGGGGAGACGAAATATATTCATCACCACCAGTCTTACACGTTACATGCAGGTCCCGCGGAACTTTTTTCAAAGTGGAGTATTAACAATCAGGTAGAGCGTAAATTGGCGCGGGGTCCAGAGCATGAGCCTCGGCAGGGGGTCAAGGGGCTGAGCCCCCGGAAGCTCAGGGGTTTTAGGTATTTACTAACGGTTAGATGAGCATCCAGGGGCCCTCTTAAGGATCCAGGGGCCGCCTTATAGGGCCCTTGGTGGGGTCCAGGGGCAGAATCCCCGGAACCTTAGGGGTTTGAGGTATTTAAATACGGTCAGATGAGCATCCACGGTCCCGCCTTACGGCCCTTGGTTGGGTCCAGGGGGGCAGAGCCCCCGGAAGCTCAGGGGTTTTAGGTATTTAATTACGGTCAGATGAGCATCATGGGGGCATAGCCCCCGGAAGCTCAGGGGTTTTCAATCACAGCAACATTTGTAAATCACTGGTATCAAATAAGAAATACACCCCCATGAGTATGCCAGCGTTCAGGGGCTCATGTCTTCTCACCCCTATAACAACAAAAAAACAGACACGCTTTCCCATTCTCGCACGATATGCGCGAATCGCTGTTATGAAGACCTCCATTGATAAATACCGTATAGGTGGCATGCGCAATGTTTATGAAATTTAATTCCTGTGAACTTTCCTTTTCTTTGAATGGAATTGTATATGTGATTTAATTCAGGTTTTTATTATTGTTATGTTCTTTTGGGTTAAAAATACATACCGTTTTTTTACTCCTTTACTGCTTTTTTTTTTTTTTTTTTTGGAGGGGGGGGGGGGGGCAAAAATGCGTTTTGCCCCCCCCCCCACTTTTTTATTGGGGGGGGGGGGGGCAACTGCCCCACTGCCCCCCCCTCCCACTTCCGGCGCCTATGTGCTCAGAACTGGTAGAGTGTTGACTCATTGACGTTTCTAGCTTTAGGCAGGGATATGTGAGTTTAACCCCTCTTGTCGTCAGCACGCGATATCATAGTTTCATCGTTTGTATTAACACCAATGTGAAACCAACATTTATTGGTATATACATATGGAAAACAAAAGATGAATCTTGAACTTACATTTCCATGCTGACTATTCCATTTCACTATAGGAACGAGTTTTATTTTGTATTTCTTTATGAGAGGGACTCGGTCCATATTACCTGACGCGTCCATTTTGTGTAAGTTCGATAACTTACATTTGTTCAGCTGGAAATCCATTCCTGTCAAATGTATGTAAACCCATGATAATCAACCTCCTGAGAATGTATTAGTCCTGCATATCTCATTCGTCTTTAGTTTCCATTTCGTTCACATGATTATGCTTAATTAAGGGAACAAGAATTATGCATCTCAGATTTGTTTGACAGATTTTTTTTTTAAATTCCTTACTTAGATCTGACGTTGGATTGCACAAAGACTTACTTGGTACTTACATCCCCGAACTATCCTTTGCCTTACCCCAATGGTGCATTCGAGGAGTGGAACATTACAGCACCTCATAACAGGAGGATCCTCGTCACTTTTGATGACTTTAGCTTGGAAGGTCCCCTTGATTTTATTATCATTCAGGACATGTATCATGAGAGAAAGATCTACACAGGCGATAATATGCAATTCCCTCCATATCTGACGTTAGGACGTACTCTTCATATTGAGTTCACCTCTTCTAGAACTGGCAGAAGGAAAGGATTCAATATTACAGTCTCGTGTATCGAAATTTCAAGTAAGTTTCTCGTTAGGATCAAAGTACGAAAAATCATCCTGTCAATATAACCTAATTTGCACATAATGACATAATGATTCTCTTTCTTCAGGTAATCTCATTAATATGTACGTTATTTGCTTTCATTCTCTCTCTTCTGCCTTTCTCTCCTTTAGTCTAATGTCTAACTATTTCTCCTTGACGGTTTTGTCCTGCGCTTCTGACCTACTTTAAATAGCTCTATGTTTTGTATTGCATTGAATTATATTTGTAACTTATCGTATAAGAGGTGCACAGTACTAATATCGACATATTCTCTCATTATAGATACCACTTCTTGTCGTTTAATGGCCGGTGCTTCACCAGCAGAAGGATTCCTCGAGCTGTTTACACAGTCTGGTGAATGGAAGAGAGTCTGTGAAGACAGCTTAACCGAAAGTGTGGCAGGGGTGATTTGTGGAGAACTTGGCTATCCTGGTTTCAAGGAGATCTCATACGTGAACTCCGCATGTGCATCTGATCATCTAAAAGACAACTGTACAAGAGCCCCAACTTGCAACCCTAGTTCGTATATACTTTTTCTTCCCTTCAGTATTAATAGAATATTCAAAGTTCGCACTGGTATTACTTCTTAATACGTATTTATTATTGTCCAGTTCAACATTTCTTATTTTTACGACATGTTTCTACAGATACATATCGTCTGGTGGATTGCACAGCTGAGCATTCAATGTGTTCGTCTGAGAAGGTCGTCAAAATAATATGTCATGGTGAGTCAAGATGTCTCTCGTTTGTCCTGATTTATGTATAGGGAGATACGTTGATGCTCTTTTGTGAAGAAGAAAAAATGAACAGAAGTGAGGACTATTCCTTAAGAAGCAATTTTACCCTTCCATTTATATAATAAAATAATTGTTGATTAGATTTTTCGGGGGCGAAAGGGCTAGAGTGAATAATATAAGAAAACGTGTACATAATTTGATATTTCTTAAACCTTAGAAAGTTTAAGTAAACAATTCCCAGTCTGGTTCCATTGAACAATGATGTTGCATGTTTGAGAACAACCACGAGCGCCTTGATTAAATGCTTAATGAGGGAGAGGGAGGGAGAGGGAAGGAGACAGACAGAGAGAAAGGCAGAGAGACAGAGACGGAATTCTAAATTTACCTATTGTTGACGCTCTCCTCCTCATCATTACAAGGGTTTGCTTATTATCATATGTTTGTTTGTTTCTACATTCAAGTATCTCGTTGGTTTTTTTTCCACAGAGCCCGGATATAAAGGATGCTATGAACTCGACACTGAGACATTACAGAACATCCCTAGATTTACTTTCCCATCGACTGCACGCTGTATCAATTCGTGTAAAACACACGAAATCCAAACTATCGCTATTATGAATCACGTTAAATGTTTTTGTTCCACATCTGCCGAAGTCCAGTTGGTAGATGCACCGAAGTGCAGCAAAGAAACAACGTCGCTATTAAAAATGGCAGTTTATGACGGTAGGCATATGCAGACGTTATTTATTTAATACAATCAAAAAAAACTTTCAAGAAGCAAACTATAAAGAGCCATTTAAAAAAAACTGTATTGTAATTGCTTTATAAATCATGTACCGCTAATGTAATATGTCATTTTCCTGTTCACATATTTGAACAGGTAAGGCACATGATCATTGTAATGGCCTTAGGTTCATTTTTCAACGTCTTTGCGATCACGTTATAATATAAGAGGATACCATCAAACTATACGTTGGTACTCTTCTTGGAATTTTACTTCTCACTGGAATCATCTATCGAGTTATGTCCAGAACAGAAGATGGATACAATTAAAATATATCTTAGAATTAAAAATCAAACCGATAATTGTTATTTGATATTAAAGCATGCATGTCATTGTGTTTACATTTTGCAAAATGCCATAATCATCGTTCGTCTAAAATGTGAACAAGTTCTCAAAACGTATCTCATAAACCCCTTCATCTGACAAAATCAGAGCCGATAAATTTTTCACAAAAATCATATCTCAAACCTCTCTTTTATTTGTATTATGCGCTATATAAAAATTAAATATTATTATTATTATTTTATAGCTTCTGTAGGTTTCTGTGAGGAGCTGAACGACACGATTGGTGGATCTTGGGATTCTAACATCACGTGGTTTGGTTCTATCCTTCATCTTACATGTATGGATGGATACAGTCTGAAAGGCAACGGAACTCTGCAATGTGTGCCAGGATTAACACCATATTATCCCATGTGGAACGACTCAGTTCCAGATTGTATAATGGGAGGTAAGTGGCTACAGCCAACACTTTACCAAAAACAAAACAAAACGTATTGTCGTCTTTTGAGGGTTTCCAGCGTTAACAAAACCCAAACCTATTGCCTATAGCTCATTGCTATGTTCCTTAATCCATTCACTTTGATTTGATCTTAAAAAGTCCTTGTTGAAACCGTCCAAAGACAAAGATACGTACAAAGTTTTACAGAGTTGCAATATGTGATACTTTATAAAAAGAATGCTTTAACCAAAAGCGGAATGAACAGTTATAATCTATGGCAGGAATCAGCAAAACATTGGAAATAAATAGATATTCCTGGAAAGCTCTAACATTTAAGAGAATGATTATCTATGACGATTACGCACAAAAACATAATACCATACAATGATTTATACTACATTTTAGTCTTTAAACAAGGATAAGAATTCTTATGAGAAATCTACATTACTGCAATGAATTTTTTTCAGTGAATAATATTTTTTTTTTGAAACAGACAAAACCGAACCATAGAAAAAATATACATATTCAAATATGGATAAGCGAGAACAACAAAAACACTCAATAATCGATAATGTGAATCACGTTGATTTTTTTCTTTATTCTTTTTTATTTGTATTTTCTTCATGGGATTCCATAGGTTTTAGGGATGACCCTTTTTCCCGTAAGCCGTAATAATTTAAGTACCCATCGCAAGTAAGCTAGTACTCCCATTATAAAGTTTCATTTGGAAAAAAAAAAAAAAAAAAGATTTTGAAAACAAATGAAAACAAATACCAAGTAACAAATATTTAACAAGATTTTGTATTTTATTGTATCTGTTTCAAGACATTTCCAGCATAATTATATCTTAATTTGTTTTATTACCAACAGGTTCTTCTACACTGTTGAATGTAGGTTCACGTTCGTTCTCTAGTTATTTTCACGTCATTCATGCACTAATGAAGTCCCATATCTAAACCGTACTCTATCGTAGACTAATTACTTCAAGAGAAATACTAGTTCTGGAAAAGGCGAAAATTAATTCCTGACTACCCTCTTTCTTGTTATTGCCATGAAGAGCAATTATTCATATTATAAATTAAATAATTTGATATTTAACAACTTGTTGGGTTTTGCATGCCTCAGGCTAAACAAATTTCACGTGGTATTCGTTCTGACTGCAGATCGTTCTAAAGGGTATCGGCTTTTTTTTGTTGATAAGTGGTAGGAATCTCGAAATGAAATATAAAAACTCAAAAAAGTTCCTGAAAGAGGATGGCAACGGATATCGGTACTTGCGCTGTACAGAAAATATACACTCATCAAATTGAGAATAATAAAGATAGCGATACCTTCACCATGTTTAAAAGAATGGTTCCACAAAAGAAAATGTCTGTACTGGTCTAAAGGATTTCATCTCAGCAAAGTTTTCACCAATAACTGAAATAAGCAACAATTTCTTAGTACCATTGCGTTCACTGGTGCCTTCATCTACGTAAAAAGCAAACGCTTTAATGCTACGTTTACACTATGTTCCCGGCGGCCACGACAACCACGTTTCAGGCCATCGTGGACGAAACGGGATTGACGTGACACAAAGCGGGGGACCGTATGGGCAAACGTGGCAGGCCGTGATTGCCGTGGATACCGTGTCAGATTTTTAAACTGTCAAAAAAATTGCCACGGCAGTCACGGAGCGGATGAGAAACCTAATATGCCGTAGTAAAGCGGGGAGAACGTAACAAAATGTGACAGTCCGTAATAGGCCGTAACAAAACTTGGAGGTGGTCCGTAGTGGGACGGGAGGCCCGCGCATATTCTCCGGCATCTTACGGTCTTTTCAAGTGTTGTCACGTTCTTCCACGTTTAGTGCACGTTTTGTCACGGTCGCTTCACGGTTGTTGAGCATTTTGTCCCGTTTTGCCACGTTTTGCCACGGTTTGCCACGGTTCTCACGGCAGGCCAGGGTGTATAGTAGCCGTTTTGTCGCGTTTAAACACCGCGCATCCCGGCGTCTGACGGTTTACGGGCACGGCGTGTTGCGTTCTGACACGGCACACGCACCAGACAAACTTTAATCCGTATAAAACGATACTGGGCATCCACCAAGGCGAGGAGAGGGATACTGAAAGAACCCTTGTAGTTGTGGTACAAGGAGCCTGTGTTGGGTGGCTTGCTGATGGCAATATGCTTCGCGTCCAGCTCCCACAGCATGAGGTACATTCCACTTGTCTTCAAACTCCTGGGCAAGGGCTCTCCACTCATCACTGGCACCATATGGCAGATGGCTGCTTTACTGCACCGGAACGTATAGGAGAGTGACGAGTAATTGTCCCCAGTGGCCAGATGACTCAGAGTCACTGACAGCTTGAATCCATGCAGGTGGTAGTGCAGAGCGGAACTTAGTGTCTTCTCTCTCGAAGGCTGGTGTTACTCTTTCCAGGATCTCATCGAAGAGCTCTGGAGGCATCCTCAGATAGTTCTGGAAGGCGTTGGTATCTTCGGTGTGGAGCTCTCTGGTGAGAAAGGTTGAGTTAGTGGCCCAGTTGCTGCCTTCTATCTTACAATGGCCATTTGCGCACCCACATGGATCTTGGCCTTCTCATCCGCCTTCTTCGCCTTCTTGCTGCCTGCTGAAGTCTGGCATTTCCTCTCTGCACATGCTGCTGACGCAAAGACTGGATGTATGAACCCAGCAAACCCAAAATCTTCTTCATCGTTTTCATTCATGATGTTGTCTCATCAAAATCTCAGGATACAATGATTGCTATTGCCTTGGAGGCCTTCTTTTAAACCGTGGGCACAATCGTGCTCCAAAGCTGCCCGGCGTCCACGTTTCATCCGTAGAAAGCCTTGACAGAACGTGAAAAACGTGACAGAACTTGATCAGAACGTGAGGGACCCCACCAGAATGTGACGGGCCGGGAGGGAACGTTCTGACATCCGTGGTAGAACGGGATTGACGTGACACAACGCAGAGGACCGTATGGGCAAACGTGACACGCCGTGATTGCCGTGGATACCGTGTCAGATTTTTAAACTGTCAAAAAATTTGCCCCGGCAGTCACGGTGCGGATGAGAAACCTAGTAGGTCGTATTAAAATGGGGTGAACGTAACACAACGTAACAGTCCTTAATAGGCCGTACCAAAACTTGGAGGTGGTCCGTAGTGGGACGGGAAGCCCGCACATTCCTCGACATCTTACGGTCTTTTCAAGTTTGGTTACGTTCTGCCACGTTTAGTGCAAGTTTTGTCACGGTTGCTTCACGGTTTCTTCACGGTTTCTGCGCATTTTTTCCGTTTAGCCACGTTTTGCCAAGGTTTGCCCCGGTCCTCACGGCAGGCCAGGAGTATGGTAGCCGTTTTGTCGCGTTTAATCACGGCGCATCCCGGCCTCTGACGGTTTACGGGTGCGGCGCATTGCGTTCTCACACGGCGCACACGGTCGGGAGGTAGTATATAAAAGACGGGCGTGGCAGGAGCTTCATTCGAGTCTGAGCAATCGACGACACATTACTGGATCTACAATAAGAAGCAAGAAGGCCAAGCTAAGCCACCGAAGAAGCCAAGACGTTTGAAGGTCCTCCGTCCTGCACCACCACAACCACAACCACCACCACCACCACCACCACCACCAGTAGTAGAGGACCAGGAACAGCCTGAAGATCCTCACCGTTCACCCCTGCCAAATGAAGAGGAGCATGCTGCTGCTGCAGCATGCTGAACTGGAACCTGAACTGGAACCTGAACCTGAGACTGGGGAGGCTGGGGAGGCTGAGGAAGACGCACCAGCTAGGAGGAGGGTAGTCCCTCCTCCTAGTCCCAAGACCCAACAAAACTTGAACACAGAGAAAAATATTGCCAAAATCCCACGGCACACTACGTTTCGGGCAAACGGGGCTGCCGTGGCCGCCAGAAACATAGTGTAAATGTAGCATAATTTTAGCATAACGCTGTGATTGTTTGCGCTGTATCTATGTATTTGGTTGATCTACTTTTTCGTTCGCGTTGATCTGATCATGTGAAAATTACAGTTTCGAAGATTCCCAGTTGTGATAATTAGTGAAATTACAAAGAAATTTTTCTGGGACAGGCTAATATTTTGTTTAATACATCAGTTGATCAGTGTCCTCTTAACTTCTTTATTAAGCAGATTGTACTGTATTGCAAATTTGGTAGTTCTATATTTCTTGAGTGCTGAATTTACCTGAAAAATTAAGTACCATAATTAATGATGAGAAACAGTTCAACAAAAAGGAAACAAAAATGAAAGGCATATAAAACAATATAAAACAATTGCATTTTCCCTATTTGTCGAAGGCGGCCTTTATGCGAGTAATTGTAATACCCATCGCAAGTAAACTAATGCTGCCGTTATACAGTCTCATTTAGAAAACAAAAAAAGACACTTTGAAAAAGATGAAAACAAATACCAAGTTGCAAACATTAAACAAGATTTTGTATTTTATTGTATCTGTTTCAAGACATCTCAAAAAAAAATTATAACTCGATTTGTTACACTTCCAACAGATCCTACTCAAGTGTTGGATAGTGGCTCACGTACGTTCTCTTGTTATTTTCACGCCATTCATGCACTAACGAATTCACATATCTATTTAAAAAAAATCGTACTCGTATTCAAGAGAAACATCAGTTCTGGAAACAGGCGAACAATTTTTTCCTGACTGCCCACTTTTTTTAGTCTCATGAAAAAGAATTATATCATGATAGTGATTTCAATAGCCTTGAAAAATATTGCTCACGAAGTGCTCTCCTATTGAACATTTGACTAAAACTAGTTCAAAATTTGGGACCACAGTCTGATGCTACATATTTGTATAGTCCCACGTTCAGTGCTTTTCATTGTTAATGATATTAAGCAAGTGCTTTGACAAACCATTTGTAGTAGCTTTGGTGCACTGGATTCTGGAAAGTAATACAATTTAGTTACAAAATTTCCAAACCAATCTGCGTTCATAATGCATCGGACAAAGAGAAAGAGTAAAATCTGAAATTCCTGTTAAAGTGTAAAACTTACATAATCAACAGGCAATGTTAATGAAATTATCTTTTACACCTTATAAAGCGGTATGCAATTTTATTTATGGCCTCTTTCATTTTTACAGGATCATATAGGCCTATATAACTAATACAAGTGCATTATGTATTCATATACTGAAACTTAATGGAGAAATTTTAAGGATATATTCAATACTGCTAAAGATCCATGCTTTGTATTTGAATTGCTCTAAATTTACAATAGTATAAGTTGCCTATTTTTAATATTTTTTTGTTTTCGATGATTTTAGTATCAACACTTTACCTAGAAATTAAAACAAATAATGGTGCAAATGTGCAATCTTTAATATCGATATCATTCTCATTGCAGAAGAGTATATATACAACCTGGTACTAAAACACTAACCCCATGTCAAAGCAATACTAAACCATAACTTTTTATAGACGTTTATTTCAATTTTTCAAATTTATTTTATGTTTCTCTTATATTTTTATAAAATCCGTGTGCACACCATCATGGGAAAAAACAAATAATAATCAAGGAGATAAATAGCAAGAATATTAAAAGCGTACAATGGGTATAATAACAAAATTACATTGCATACAGTGGGAAAGGGGAAACTAACATGACTGAATATTACGATATGTGATTTCGTCAATCAAAACCCATTCA